TAATTCATATTCTTCCTGCATTCTTTTCCTTTGTTTTTTTATTGATTAAGCAAGATTGAAATATCTTGCACATTCAATGAAATATCTTGATTAAGTACTATACGATTAGAATTTTCACTTTTAAGTCTTGATTTTAATTTCACTTTCAGTGATGTTATCCCGATAACACTTTTGGAACCTACAGATTTCGAACGCTTTTGACTGTTCAATTATGTTTTTTTGGATTAAGATTTTTGGTTGATTAAAATGTTTAGAATATAGTCTATTGCTTTTGTTCTAGAGTGTATTGTGTTTTCAATATTGCAAAATGCTTTTTTCCTAGCCCANAATTGCCTTTGTTCTAGAGTGTATTGTGTTTTCAATATTACAAAATGCTTTTTTCCTAGCCCATTAAAGTAGCCGACAGAGATTGGGAGAGCTATAAAAGAAAAGTGTTGGCCATTCATATAATATGTTGGGGTGATTTACACATCCCTGGAATTACTTATATNTTGAACAATTTTTTTCATCTGCTATTAATTCCATTAAAGCACTGATGTATTTCAACTACGTAATTCCATTAAAAATGTTTGCTTATTTACTCGATCAATTGCAAAAATATTTACTTTATTGTATTGTGTTGGTTTGATATGTTTTTTTTAAGTGTACAGAATTTTGTGTGTGTACAGAATTTTGTGATCTTTTCACTTTTTGATCTATTATTGATCTGAACTTTTTAAGTGTAATCTTTTCGTTGCCAAATTATTCCAGGTTTTGCAAATGAAATCTGCTATACTAAATTCCTTGAAGTTTGAAATGACAGCCCCNTCCCACATTGAGATACTATATAAATTTGTTGTTGTCTATTATTTAGTAACCAACTGAGATACTATATAAATTTGTGGGTCTAGAATCTTTGCATGAATGATCATTCGTTACCTTTGCATTAATAATTCAAAAGTTATTTGTTCTTAAAAGAAGTTAATTCGTGGCACAATGATGTTGCTGTGACAACTTTTGGTTGTCTTTGAAAACAGTGGAATCATTTTTGGATATACTTTGTTAGTGGTTTAAGGAGTTACACAAATGTTGGGCTTTTTACAATATAATTTTTTAATTATGCNCATCTACAATAAACCGGTGTCACAATCTAAATGAATTGATATTTAAAATCTATCCACAATTGGATGTGATTGGTATAGTGACTCCAACCTTTCTCACTGAACGCACAATTCTCTCTGCGCGTAATGACGACGTCAGTGATATAAATGCTGCAGCACTGAATATTACTCCGGGAGAGACAATTACTTTTTTAGCTGCAGATAAAATGTCTGTTTATGATGAGCTTGACCGTACCATTAGGAATCGATATCCTAATGAGTACTTAAACTCGCTNATTGCCAAATTATTCCAGGTTTTGCAAATGAAATCTGCTATACTAAATTTCTTTAAGTTTGAAATGACAGCCCCGACATCCTAATTTTTTTTTCCCTGCAAGTTGATGTTTGATGCTTATTAAAGTTACTTNGCTGTTTATGATGAGCTTGACCGTACCATTAGGAATCGATATTCTAATGAGTACTTAAACTCGCTGAATCCTTCAGGGTTGCCACTGTTTAAATTGGAATTGAAAGTTGGATGCCCAATAATGTTGTTACGAAATATTGCACCAAAGGATGGACTTNATTGAAAGTTGGATGCCCAATAATGTTGTTACGAAATATTGCACCAAATGATGAACTTTGTAATGACACGCGATTGATGGTTGTTAGATGTGCCTCAAGGGTAATCGAAGCNCGGTAAAGTCTATAACACAATATTTAGTAATCTGTTTATTAATGAAAATTTCTTTTTGGTTGGGTAATAAGAAGCTTACACTGGACACGCACACGGAATCTCATTGACTATTGGANGCACGCGATTGATGGTTGTTAGATGTGCCTCAAGGGTAATCGAAGCTCAGATATTAAATGGAGATAAAATTGGCAATTTAGTCTTCATTCCGAGAATATCAATGACACCAACATCTTTGGACTTGCCTTTTCGAATGACAAGACCTCAGTTTTCTATCCGATTAACTTATGCTATGACAATCAATAAAGCCCAAGGACAATCTATCAAGTTCGTTGGGATTGATTTGCGGACACCTGTTTTTAGTCATGGACACCTTTATGTGGCACTATCTAGATGCACATCTTCAGATCGTATTACAGTCCTCCTTCCAGAAGATGGGTCGAATTGCACTACAAATATTGTTTACCCAGAAGTTTTGTTATAAGATTCTTACGACAAGTAAATGGTATAGTTTAAACAAATTTATTTCTACTGAATTATGTAATCTTTTCATCATTTCAACTTTTAGTTTTACAATGAGATTCATTCTTTATAGGATTGGAGTGAATTTGTCAACGAGAACGATAGTGTATATACAATGGACCTTTGTGGATGGGGCCGACGTAATCAGGTAAATCTACTTTATGTCACTGTATTAAAATAACTTTACTATTCCTACAATATAAATATTGTGTTACTTTTATTGTTTATGTGAATAATTAGGTGGTTGTGCATTCTCCTCATTGGGCAAAGTGCGTTCGTATTGATACGAGGACATTAAGGATAGTGATGAAGAGAAGGTTTAAAGGGATGAATAAGACATTTAAGAGAGTTAAATGATATGCAATCCATTACCGACCTGTCCACCTTTGACGATGACTAACTCATCACTGACCAAACAATTGTTTAGGTATGAAAATCTCTCTTACTAAGACTCTATATTTCTCTATTCTCATGTAGACACACAACACACAATACATGCACAAACACAAACACATAACTGTAACCAATCAAACACTCGCAAATCAAACTCACACACCATTATATTGTCACTAATACAGATTTATGATTGAAATCATTAAGCAAATGAACCGTCTGTTGAAATGATACTAAGAAAATCTTATTTGATTGTAAGTCTCTACATTCCTCCATATATTTTCCTAAATAAATTGATAATTTGTTACAAACTCTCTAAATTCTTACTTATATCAATCTAAATCATTTCAGGGTAATGTAATTAATTTTATTGAATCCAACTAACGAAAAAAGTAAGGGGTCTTATGTTTCGGATTTACAATTGTTTTATTTTGACTCACTTATTTCGATAATTTTTATATTTCAAATATTTTCAGGTATACATTGAAGGATACTTGGTGTAAGTTGTAAAGAATATGAAGTTGTTTCTTTATTTTGTGCATGTGTGTATTTTTTGTGTTCCGTCTTTTGTAAAGTTAACTAATTATACATAATTATGATGATTTTGGGTATGGAATGATGGTTGTTTTGGTGGTTTGGGTATGTAGTGATGATTGTAAGTTTTGTAGACAGGTTTATATTTTTCTGTATATCTATTTTTTAAAAAAATTATGCATAAATTTTTTGAAATTAGTAGGGATTAACTTGATGTTTTGATGGTTGGATATGTGTTGATGATTGAATATATATTAATTATTGCGGTGGTATGGTAAATTATGATAACGTTATGGTAAATTAGAGTTTTAATCTAATTTTTCGTTACGCCGTGCCTGAAAGGCACGGGCAATTACTAGTTAGATAATAATAGATGACTCCATATGAAGAATATTAAATAAAAGAAAAATGTATTAGAGAAAATCAGAATAAAATTAAAAATAAGTCTCCACATTCTAACAGTAACGAAGAAACATCGTTCCTTCACCCCCAAAGCATATAAAATCAAAATAAAGCTTCTGTTCCACCTCCATTCATTCATCTATCGATACTTATAGAGAGAGAGAGAGNAAAGTGCGTTCGTATTGATACGAGGACATTAAGGATAGTGATGAGAGAAGGTTTAAAGGGATGAATAAGACATTTAAGAGAGTTAAATGATATGCAATCCATTACCGACNAATGTATTAGAGAAAATCAGAATAAAATTAAAAATAAGTCTCCACATTCTAACAGTAACGAAGAAACATCGTTCCTTCACCCCCAAAGCATATAAAATCAAAATAAAGCTTCTGTTCCACCTCCATTCATTCATCTATCGATACTTATAGAGAGAGAGAGAGAGAGCACATACAGCGTCTAGAGAGAGAGAGAGAGAATGGCTTCGTTTGATACCTACAGCGTGACGTCGTCTCATCCCTTCGACGATACCTACGAANAAATCCAACTAACGAAAAAAGTAAGGGGTCTTATGTTTTAGATTTACAATTGTTTTATTTTGACTCACTTATTTCGATAATTTTTATATTTCAAATATTTTCAGGTATACATTGAAGGATACTTGGTGTAAGTTGTAAANTTTTGACTCACTTATTTCGATAATTTTTATATTTCAAATATTTTCAGGTATACATTGAAGGATACTTGGTATAAGTTGTAAAGAATATGAAGTTGTTTCTTTATTTTGTGTATGTGTGTATTTTTTGTGTTCCGTCTTTTGTAAAGTTAACTAATTATACATAATTATGATGATTTTGGGTATGGAATGATGGTTGTTTTGGTGGTTTGGGTATGTAGTGATGATTGTAAGTTTTGTAGACAGGTTTATATTTTTCTGTATATCTATTTTTAAAGAAAATTCTGCATAAATTTCTTGAAATTAGTAGGGATTAACTTGATGTTTTAGTGGTTGGATATGTGTTGATGATTGAATATATATTAATTATTGTGGTGATATGGTAAATTATAATAACGTTATGGTAAATTAGAGTTTTAATCTAATTTTTCATTACGCCGTGCCTGAAAGGCACGGGCAATTACTAGTTAAATAATAATAGATGACTCCATATGAAGAAAATTAAATAAAAGAAAAATGTATTAGAGAAAATCGGAATAAAATTAAAAATAAGTCTCCACATTCTAACAGTAACGAAGAAACATCGTTCCTTCACCCCCAAAGCATATAAAATCAAAATAAAGCTTCTGTTCCACCTCCATTCATTCATCTATCGATACTTATAGAGAGAGAGAGAGAGCACATACAGCGTCTAGAGAGAGAGAGAGAGAGAGAGAGAGAGAATGGCTTCGTTTGATACCTACAGCGTGACGTCGTCTCATCCCTTCGACGATACCTACGAATCGTACTCCAACTTCAACTCCGCCAACGACGGCTACTCTCCGCCGCCGTACGATGGTAGCGGAGTTGGATTCCCGGGGGAGGAAGAGGTGACAGTAGATCACATCTCTCACTCCGTCGATAGTCCTGATCCGTTTGGTTTCGGCTCAGATCCGAACCCTAACTACTCGCAACCGTCGCCGTTCGATGATTCTTCGATCCCTGTATCGAATGGTAATGGTGGTTCGTACAATTTAGGCGAAGATGCTGAGGGAATTTTCAGTTCCGATGGTCCGATTCTTCCGCCTCCGACTGAGATGCAGCCTGAGGAAGGGTTTGCTCTTCGCGAATGGCGAAGGTGAGGTTTAGATCTTCCGATTTGCTTGATTTGGTTCTTTTCTTGTGGTTCTGAGCTTTTAATTGACTCGATCTATTGTTTTTGTATGTACAACTCTAGGTGTTTTGGTCTGTTGCTGGGATTAAAATTTACTGTTAGTTTGTTCGTAGTAATTTACTTCATGTGACTTATATTTGACTTGAACCTCTCTTTTGTGTCGTTCAATTCTTGCTTTTGGATTTTAATTTCTTTCTCTTGTCTTTGATCTGAGCGAATGATAAATTGCTCAGGCTAGTAGTCACTTTGTACATATGTCACCAAGGTTAGGCCTGTGTTCTGTATATGTTTTCCATCTTCCCGAGTAAGGGGGACCATTACACACATATTGGGTAATTGAGGAAATGTATTATCTAAAGGCTGAATAGGTTGATTTGGGTTCATAAAGGAGTTCAATACCATATTGTATCATTTGTGTTGGTCATGATTGGATAGGTAACTGTTGAATCTAGGATACTGCTTAACTTGCTTTGAGGATGTTACAACTTGATTTGATTATTGTTGAATGAGGTAGTTTTCCGGCCTTGATGATTTGACCTTGATAGCATTTTCCTGTTTTTTTTTTTTCACCTTGTTTTGGTAGACATAATGACTTACGTAGTTGGGTCCATATAAACTGGCAATCCAATTATGTCATAAGCTACTTTGCAAAAAATAAACCCAATCATAATATAATCTTCCTATTTGTAATTGTATATGCTTGAGTTTAAAGATAATGGGATAGTTTCCATGGTTGTTTAAAGAACAGAAAAAGTTACGAAGATTTTTCTTTTTTAGTAATTTGATCGGCAAAACAGCAACCACCTTTGGTGTTTTCAGTACGAGTTACATAGAGGAGTTGGTATTCTTGCTAAATTTGATGACAAAACAGCTATCACATCTCTTTTTAACTTGAAAACTGTGGCTTTTCTGGTGCAGGATAAATGCCATTCGACTTGAGGAGAAAGAGAAGGCAGAAAAGGAAATGCGGAACCAGATTATTGAAGAAGCTGAAGATTATAAAATAGCTTTCTATGAGAAAAGNACAAATTGGTGCAGGATAAATGCCATTCGACTTGAGGAGAAAGAGAAGGCAGAAAAGGAAATGCGGAACCAGATTATTGAAGAAGCTGAAGATTATAAAATAGCTTTCTATGAGAAAAGAAAGCTTAATATTGAAACTAACAAGACCAACAACAGAGAAAAAGAGAAGGTGAAACTTTACTGTTACTCAAGTAGTTTTCTTCAATTTCTTTTCTGACCTTGATTTGGTTGTTTTGATATTTTTAATTGAATTTTGTTGGGAGCAGTTCTACGTTGCTAATCAAGAAAAGTTCCATAAAGAGGCTGATAAACAATACTGGAAAGCAATAGCAGAGCTCATTCCTAATGAGGTTCCCACTATCGAGAAGAGAGGAAAAAAGAAGGATCAAGATAAGAAGCCATCAATCACAGTCGTCCAAGGCCCGAAGCCTGGAAAACCGACTGAACTGTCAAGGATGCGGCACATTTTGGTCAAGCTTAAGCACAATCCCCCACCTCACATGCTTCCGCCCCCACCAGCTCCCGCTAAGGATGCCAAAGATGGAAAGGATGGGAAGGACACCAAGGACGGAAAAAGTGCTAAGAATGGAAAAGATCTTGCATCTAAGGCAACTGCATCTGGGGATGCACCTGCCAAAGATGCTGCTTCAAATGGTTCACACACGGCCAAAGATGAACCTTCTGCAGCTGCAGCCAGTGACCAGCCTTCTAGTTAGCTTCGTGAGGCCGATATATGTCCTCCCTCCATATATTTTCTTGTTTGCTATATTGTGTCCACGATTCTTATTACGAATTTGTGTTCCATTTAGCTATGCTACTGATTACCGAGGATAAGAAAGTATTGTAATTTGCTCCGACTGTGAGTACCTATTCTTGCATTGATTATGGGTTGTTACTATTGGATTGAGGTTTGTTCTAAAGTCTTTGTATTTTGTTTATGAAATTCAGATATTTGAGTATAGATCTTTTTGTGAGGTGTTTCTATACAGAGTTTGAAATGAATTGGTGTTGCTCTTTGTAGCTTCAGAGCTAATTTGTGATTGTTGGCCATTCAACTTGTATGGTACGATTGGAAAGATTGCTTTTAAAGCCCAGTTGGAGTTAAACATGGAATCTCTCTTCAGATCATGAAACCATTGTAGTGTAGAATTTTCTTGTGTTTCCAGTTAAGCAGAGTGATATAAATAGCTACAACAATAATGTTTCTGTTGCAGCAATGGAGCTGTAAGGTATCTGGACCGTGTAGGTATGAATGATCAACTAGATAAATTAGTAGGTCTGCCAATCGTTTATTTGATAAAATGAAAACTCTTTTTATTGGATGATCATGATATTTTTCAAAAATTAAAATTTCTGATCGGGACTATGTCATCGTTTTTGTTCAATAAGATGCCTATAATAACATTTCTCCAGTCAAGAGGCCNTTGAAAAATTTCTGATCGGGACTGTGTCATCGTTTTTGTTCAATAAGATGCCTATAATAACATTTCTCCAGTCAAGAGGCCCATGTCAAATTTACCTTACCAAGGGCCTACCAAGTGTGGGTTTATGTCTCCTGTACCATGCATCTCAATTTGTCATAGATCATGCCTAAGAGATATCCAAGTGTCCCACTACACAGTGGATGACTTGCTCATAAAAAAATGTAGTGACGAGAATCTGAATTCTCATAAAATGATCCAAACTAATTTTTAGCATCATAATAAAGTGCTTATTAAAATAAACAAATTTATGACTTAATCTGTATAATGCAGTTACTTGAGTCCATACTGACATTCAGGATCTTTACTTTTTAACTTAACCCCACCAAATTGTAAGTGACCTATTTCAGTCAGTACCATAAAAATACTGTCGTGAACACCACCTCTGTGCACCTCCTCTCTTACACCACCTGATGTAGGACAATCAAAATCATTGGATAATTGATAAACTCTGTGAAACCTATTAATTTAACAGTCTATGTTAAAGCGCTACACAAAGANGACATTCAGGATCTTTACTTTTTAACTTAACCCCACCAAATTGTAAGTGACCTATTTCAGTCGGTACCATAAAAATACTGTCGTGAACACCACCTCTGTGCACCTCCTCTCTTACACCACCTGATGTAGGACAATCAAAATCATTGGATAATTGATAAACTCTGTGAAACCTATTAATTTAACAGTCTATGTTAAAGCGCTACACAAAGATGGTATAAGAAGATGATGTTTATAGCACTATTGGTATTATAATTGTGCATTGCTTCTAACTTGCATCCACATATACAGGCATACAAATTCAAATTCGACAACTATTAGAAGAAACCCAAAAACAAGAATCTATTTTCAGTAAGTTCACGAGGCCTAAAAAGGTCAAATCTAGGACTCACAAGCCTTCATAGGGAGAGTTTCCCCACCCATAGNCTATTAGAAGAAACCCAAAAACAAGAATCTATTTTCAGTAAGTTCACGAGGCCAAAAAAGGTCAAATCTAGGACTCACAAGCCTTCATAGGGAGAGTTTCCCCACCCATAGCCTGGTTATGTAATTCCTGTAAAAAGACTCGTAATGAATTCTGGTAAGGTTTTGTACCTGTTAATAAAGAAAAAGTGGGAGACTATGGTCTGATATCAGGACTTACAAAGCAAAAAATAACTATTCAGAGTCTCCCAAAAATTCACCCAACAATGTTTGCTCAAATACTAAAAATCAACACAAAACAATTTCCGAAAAAGTTGTTCTAACGATGAAAAACTGTACTTGCAATATAAGAACATGGATTTAAGTTAGACCAGGCAATGAACAATTGTTGAATAAGGATTCAATCAGGGAAAAAAAACTACTCTTAATTAACATGACAACGTTTATCAAACCCTCAAAAAGGACCAAAAACCATTATGAGCGCTTAAAGCTGTACATCGGAACACAACTAAAGACAGCAACCAAAAAATGGCATGTATATATTTATTAGGCACCGTAGTCTGCATCTTTATATTTGTCTTCTGGATAATAGACAGCAGTCACAGTATTGCCTCCAAATTTCCGGCCACTGAGTGAGTCTCTTGCATTGGCACAACCAGAAGTGTCAGAATATTCCAAGAACACCTGCAATTAAAACCATAATTTGGTAACTTGCGCAAGTCTAGATGCATTAGATCCTCGGTCCTTCTATTTCGTGTAATCAACACTATTTTCCTTCGCACCCAGAACAAAAGCAATGGAAGAAAGATAAGTTATTAACAAAATCGCAGCATAAAAATGCCCACAAGTCATTAGAGTTGTATGCAAAACTGTAAACTAAAAGCGAGACCAGATACTAGTCAATGAGAAACTCACTATACTGTCAGCTCTCTCCCTTCTCAGTACATTCGCACACATTAGAAAAGAAATATATAGCTTTCGCAATGGAATTCTAAAGTATCATGCANATACTAGTCAATGAGAAACTCACTATACTGTCAGCTCTCTCCCTTCTCAGTACATTTGCACACATTAGAAAAGAAATATATAGCTTTCGCAATGGAATTCTAAAGTATCATGCAAATGCCATAACATGTCTGCTGAACAAATTGTTTGTTCAAGCTTGAGTTCCAAGTTTTTATAAGATGAAGCCTCCAAAGTTCAATATTATAATTTTATCTCTTTATTTTCCTAAAAAGAGGGGCCCTATAGTGTGGTACAGACAGGCAAACAGAAAACCAGCCCACAGTTGAGAATATCCGGTGTACCTTTCCAAGACCTTGGACTGCCTCTCCATTGGGATCTGGGCGGGGAATAACGACATTCATCAGGTGTCCTACAAAAATTCAACCATGAAAATTCTCAATACACTGTTTAGCAGTATCCAGGTCCATGAAAAGAGTACAAAACTCCACCAATAGTTCCTAACAATCATACATATGGCACTACTATAATTATTAAAGGGAATTAAAGGTGCAATCGATCATTCAAAAAACTGGCATGCTATAACTAAAACATTCCGCAAAACACATAGGATAGATCGTGCAGATATTTCATTATTTCATTTTGGGTGATCCATTACAACCATTATTAGTCTAAGGTTTAGGATGCCCAAGCGATCAAAGCAAATTTAGATCAACTTGTATGACAAAAAATAGTTTCAGAAGTCTATTATTTTGAACGCCGTCTCCAGAACCACAGAACTGGAAAAGTAATGAAATAATGATGCAAAAGCTGCCAAAATGTAAACCAAGACACTAGGTATGATTTCCACATAAACAACCGATCCTCGTGGATGGTTAACTCTCTCTTAATTTTATTGAGAACTTTCCATCAAAAAAAAAATCATTAAGAACCTTCTAAATTCCATTCTACCAGTTTTGACTCAACAATATACTAAAGTAGACGTGAAAATCCATATTTCGGATATATACAAGTTGCATAATTTTGAGGCCAAATGAAATATGTATACCAAACTTCCCGCCTTCTTCCCTCATGTCCTCTAATATTTCCGCATATTCTCCATCATCCACCAGTTCATCAGCCGAAATCACCTTCATGGTAGCCAAAATTTTAAAACATTAGCATAATCGAATCTAGTTACTGTTTTTTCTTCGTTTTCAGTTTCTTTGGGAAATAAGGGTAGAAGCTGAAATACCTGAGTTAAACACAAAATTTTGGTTGGAGTCTCAGCAGTAGCTATGGGCCCTATACCTGATCCAGGAAGATTCATACCACTGGCTTGCAAGGCCATTTTCTACAATGCAAAATTACAAGTCAACAATGTTTACGACCCCGAGAATGATAAATAACCCTGGGAGGGCAAATAGGATTTTACCTGTATGGCTATATGCTGTTGTGCCTGAGCTAATATATTTTCCTGCTCTGATGTCACTTGCCCGCTGCTGCAAAATATGATAGCGACAAGAAATCAGGACCAATATATTGACCTTTATCACAGTTCCAAAAAGAAAAATATTGACCTTTATCTGTTCAAACATGAATATTCAAAAGTTTCACCAATTAGGGTCACAAAGCATTTCCTAATATCGGACACACTAAATATTCAGAGCATAAATATATTTAATTTCCAAGCAGAAACATCATGGAGATACAAAAGTGGAAACCTCAGGTTTTCCAACCACACATTTCAGAAGACTCAGTAGCCAGTTTGATTTAAATTGATAAACTCTGATCAAACCTCTATATTTGGCAATCCTATTATCAAATCAGGTTAACAAAATCAAAGAAACAATTAGGGTACAAAAAAACATATATACCGCCATAGAAATGATACCACAAGTAGCCAGCAGTAAGCTACTGATAAATGATAATAGTATCATAAGCATCTGATAGTCTTTTCCAAAGGATGAGAATAGGCATCAGCATACAACAACATAAAAAAGAAGAGCAAAAAGAAAGGAAGGAAGCAAGAAAAGAAGAAAGAAAAACTAAACAATGTCACCTTCCTCATTTGACAATAATGCCTCCCAGTAATTTTAAAAGCAACGACAGATTTTCCAACTTAACATCCCGAAACTAATGAGTAGAACAACCAACAAATAACACAATGGTACTAAAAGGTCAAATAAAGACTTTCCAATTAGACTTCTTGAACCTAGTTAGCAGAACCCCAATTACAAGTAAGACAGTGCTAGAGTGGACCTGATAAACCAAATCAATGTTAAAGAGACTTAGACAAAAACCTGATGGTCGCACGTCTAACAGTCAGTGTTTTATCACCCATCTTCAAGCCATTTAAAGCAGCACAAGCAATGTCCGTAACTGCTGGATCCTGAAGTAAGTTGACACTAATCAGGCAACAAAGAGAAAAAACCCTCCAGCTTTATTTTTTTTCCATAAGAAACATATTTTATTAATGAATAATAGAAAACTATACTTAATCCGATCTAAGGCGAGCAAGTCGTCCATCCCAAAGTTATTATGAAGCAGTAAAAATTTTAAAAAGTGTAGTCGTTGTATTAAAGTTAAAGACAAGTTTTAAATATTCAGAACATAATACGTCTAATTTGTAGCTTTAGAGTAATCACAGCTTTATTTAAGTAAAAGATGAGTAAAATGAATTGCTATTTGAAGAAGCAACGAAGTATGAAAAGCGTATGATTCAGTTCGACAGCGGTTCAAGGCAAAAGCCTGACTTTCTGAACATCAGTTTTAATCACCTTATAGACGCAGAAAGCATATCCCTTAGAGTTTCCTGTGTCTCTATCCTTAACAAGGTCAAACCCACGCAAAGATCTGCAACAAGTCAATGATCTAAATTACACCATGAAATGAATATTGCAAAAATAACTATGATGGGTTACCATTTCTTTTTTAAAAGCAGCGAAACTTTTATTAGAAGAATAGGGCAAAAAGAGTACAAGAGAAAGAAAACATAGAGGCAAAGTCATCCTGCCAAAGATCATTTCAACAAATGAGCAAAATAAATCAAAACCAAGACAATGATCTTTGGCAAGTAGCCATTATCCAGATGACTCAGAAAGTGTGGTAATTCATCACTACCAGTTAAGGCCATACCCAAATGACTCTAGCAATTCCGTTATCTGTTCCTCAGTGAAGTAGTATGGCAACCCGCCAACAAAAATACGGTCAACTCCCTCAGCTCCACCAATAGTGCTATCAATTAAATTAGAAATCAGTAAACCAGAACAAAAGTAAATAAATACAACCACACAAATCCAAGTTTTAGAGCAAATGGTCAAAATCAATGAGAATCAAAGTAAGAAAAAAATCAAAGGGGGAGGGAGGGGAAAGGGAAAGGGCTGGGTTTTTATTTGTGCCTGCTCTGTGTGTGTCTGTGTGTTGGGGGGGGGACTGTTCCTACTGTCAGCTCTACTTCGAGGAAATCTGAGATGATCTGTTCAGTCAAAGATAAAGCAGGAATGTGTGCATGCAAGAAAGTCTTGAGGGTAACGAATTTGTATTCAAAAAGGATGAAAAATTGACTTTGATTGATTGGTATGGGTAAGGTAGCCAGCCTCAAATATCCAACTTTTTTTGGAGGTCAACGGCCAAGTTCACCGTGATACCTGGATGACTTCGACAATGAACTTAGTTTATCACCACATTGATCCTCAGTTTGCTGAGCTCACAACCAGATTATATTCCATAAGTGCTGTTGTATGTGGCACTATAGTTTTTCCTTTGACATTTGAGGCTTTGAGGTTGTTGCTTTAGCTAGGGCATTGCTTTCCATTACTTCTAGTTTGAAGATACACTGCTCCACTCTATATTTTCCCCTAGTTCTTATATGTAAGCTTTGTTTTGTTTTCAATTTATATAAATAATAAAAAGGAAAAAAAAAACAGCACAACTGACAGTCCAAAACATTACAAAGTTGAACTAAAGAACCATGTTTCAACACTTCATTTTAACCTATAAGTATACCTGCATCATTGCCAAGCATGCAAGGTAAATGAATCATGCTTCAATGCACTGATGATGGATGGAAAACAAATGATCGGCCCTACTTACCCTATTGTCAGTCCTGCAGCAGCTAAATTCAGCTGAGGATTTGGTTGGCTCGGACCAAGTGCTGCAGCTAATGAAGGGTTGTAGTCTGTAGGCCTCCGCACCCTCACAGAAACTCCCTGGTAACATCAAAAAAATAAGCATTCAGNAATAGAAGCAAAAAAATGAGAAAATATTTAAGAAGCGATGACTAAGAAACTATAAACCTTTGCAATTGCAACCACTACATCCTACAGCGGCCTAAAAAAATTATAGCGGCTTTACAATCCAATTGGATTGTAATCCCATGTAGCGGCTTCAAATGGAACTCCTGAAATTCACGAAATGATAGGCATCTAATTGCAGCATATTACATTTGTATTAAGTAAGATTTAAGGCGCATAACTGGATGACACAGTTTTTGGAAACAGATCAAAACCTAAAATCNGATAGAAGCAAAAAAATGAGAAAATATTTAAGAGGCGATGACTAAGAAACTATAAACCTTTGCAATTGCAACCACTACATCCTACAGCGACCTAAAAAAATTATAGCAGCTTTACAATCCAATTGGATTGTAATCCCATGTAGCGGCTTCAAATGGAACTCCTGAAATTCACGAAATGATAGGCATCTAATTGCAGCATATTACATTTGTATTAAGTAAGATTTAATGCGCATAACTGGATGACACAGTTTTTGGAAACAGATCAAAACCTAAAATCCAAACCAAAAAAACCTGTTTGTTATCCTTTCTAATAAACATGAAGGGTTAATCTCTAGAGTATAGATCATCCAAGCCAATGTTGTCTGTGTTTAGTGTCTTAAGTATATTAGTCAAGTTCATACCCCACTCATCCAAGCAAAAAATCAGGCAGATGGACGGAAAGATTAGTTTCCCATACACTCATTTTTTACTTGCTAATCATTCACAACATCTTAACATTTTGGTGCCTCCTTAGGCATTTAAGACACTAGAGCTGGTGGCACACACATAGTATGTGCAATTTCAGAGCAAACATACAAATTTTGGGGACTTATCTNTGTTAATCTCTAGAGTATAGATCATCCAAGCCAATGTTGTCTGTGTTTAGTGTCTTGAGTATATTAGTCAAGTTCATACCCCACTCATCCAAGCAAAAAATCAGGCAGATGGACCGAAAGATTATTTTCCCATACACTCATTTTTTTACTTGCTAATCATTCACAACATCTTAACATTTTTGTGCCTCCTTAGGCATTTAAGACACTAGAGCTGGTGGCACACACATAGTATGTGCAATTTCAGAGCAAACATACAAATTTTGGGGACTTATCTCATTGCTGATAAGATAGGGTTCTACGCATAGATAACAAGATCATAGATACCCCTAGTGTCTCACGAACTGGTGTCGCGCGACCCGAAATGTTGTGGGTTCGTGATCTAGGTCGCTTAAGGTCCCGACCCCAAATTATAACTCAAACCCCAACTTGATTCATGATCTAAATAATCTCACATCATAACTCCAACCCTAAAACATAACTCTTAACTTTTTATTTCCTTATTTTGGTGTTCTTTAAACTCATATTTTGACTACATTAATCATAAATATAAAATAAATATTTATTAACTGTGTATACACATATATTGTTCTATTTGGAAGTTACAAAATGAACTACGACCCAAAATAGCATACCAACTATGGCTGCCCCATCATACTGCGTATTGGAAGAAGTACCGTATCAAGTACCAAATCAATCCACGACCCGGTCTACTTGTAGTACGGGGCTGTTTCTGTCACCATAATAAATTCATATGCAGAATATGTCATTGATGAAACATGAGAGGAGTATGGTGTTATGAGGAAGACACCGCAAGGTGCTTGCTCCGGCACAGCTCTCTTTTGATCAATAGTATACATACATCACAAAACAATTTGAACACATAGCAATGCCTCAATGCAAGTCACCGAACAATTACTAAAAAATGGTGTAAGATCCCAATTTATAAGAGAGACCGAAAAGAACCAAATATCGAGCACCAAAATAGATTATAAGTGTAAAAAGCACTAAAGATACCACACAGCACTAGAAAAATAAAATGTTTAGCCCATATGCCATGTCAATTCTGTCCAACATTGTGACTTTGAAAGCAAAAAAGTCTATAAATAAACCAAACCAAATCAAATCAACCTAAACAGAGTTATGTCCCATGTCCTATAACTCCCAAAAATAAAGAGTAAGCAATAAATAGAATCAATCATTCTAAGAGGTAATTAAAAAAACAACGGTGTAAAACCTGTTCATTAGCATTTGGGGGAAGGCCACCAACGTATACTCGGCGTGCATGCCTTGTAGCCTATACAGAGACAGAAAAGGAAAATGCTCCATCAGTGGAAGCATTAAAAATATAACAGAAAGTGAGATACGAGTACAATACAGCATTGTGTATTACCTGCTGAGTCATGGCTTGGGCGGGCATCAAGGGCAGAGTTCCAAACTGATTAACCTATTAAAATACATCTAAGTGTTATAAAGATGCTACTCAAGGAAAAGCACATGGAACAAAAAAAAAACACAAGAAGAGTCATGACTAATGAACTGATGCTTGTAAACACCAACACCTGTGTGTTCCCAAAAGGAAACATGTTTGGGAACATTCCAGGCATTGCTTGAGGAACCCCTGGCAGTTGCCCTGTGTAATAAACAGTAAGGAAACAAGTAAATAAGGAATAATAAAACCACATAATCAAATATCAAAATGTGCTGCAACTGAATAATGAGAAGCAACATATCTAGAAGCCTGCAACTATATATATTNGGAGTATGGTGTTATGAGGAAGACACCGCAAGGTGCTTGCTCCGGCACAGCTCTCTTTTGATCAATAGTATACATACGTCACAAAAACAATTTGAACACATAGCAATGCCTCAATGCAAGTCACCGAACAATTACTAAAAAATGGTGTAAGATCCCAATTTATAAGAGAGACCGAAAAGAACCAAATATCGAGCACCAAAATAGATTATAAGTGTAAAAAGCACTAAAGATACCACACAGCACTAGAAAAATAAAATGTTTAGCCCATATGCCATGTCAATTCTGTCCAACATTGTGACTTTGAAAGCAAAAAAGTCTATAAATAAACCAAACCAAATCAAATCAACCTAAACAGAGTTATGTCCCATGTCCTATAACTCCCAAAAATAAAGAGTAAGCAATAAATAGAATCAATCATTCTAAGAGGTAATTAAAAAAACAACAGTGTAAAACCTGTTCATTAGCATTTGGGGGAAGGCCACCAACGTATACTCGGCGTGCATGCCTTGTAGCCTATACAGAGACAGAAAAGGAAAATGCTCCATCAGTGGAAGCATTAAAAATATAACAGAAAGTGAGATACGAGTACAATACAGCATTGTGTATTACCTGCTGAGTCATGGCTTGGGCGGGCATCAAGGGCAGAGTTCCAAACTGATTAACCTATTAAAATACATCTAAGTGTTATAAAGATGCTACTCAAGGAAAAGCACATGGAACAAAAAAAAAACACAAGAAGAGTCATGACTAATGAACTGATGCTTGTAAACACCAACACCTGTGTGTTCCCAAAAGGAAACATGTTTGGGAACATTCCAGGCATTGCTTGAGGAACCCCTGGCAGTTGCCCTGTGTAATAAACAGTAAGGAAACAAGTAAATAAGGAATAATAAAACCACATAATCAAATATCAAAATGTGCTGCAACTGAATAATGAGAAGCAACATATCTAGAAGCCTGCAACTATATATATCGTCGTAACTGTAATTTACAGTAAATAAAACAAAAAAGAACCTACATCGTACCTAGAATTATATATCATTCAGACACTAAAATAAGATATATATTCCACCACTGGAGATGCTGGGAAACAATTGCATGGCTACCAAATAACAACAGTTGCCGGCTGAAGGTGAACATGATCCAGCTATTCAGTGCATTGGTTCCTCGTTCAACATTAAATCTACAGTGTTCACGCCCATGGGAAGCAGAGTAGGACATGTAGCCCAACATTGCCTTCTTACCAAAACGACAAGCAAAAACACAAACAAAGAACCACACACAACAGCCAACAACACAACAATGGTTCTCAGTTTCGTTATATAAAAGAACTGTACCATAACGAACAGAGACATAAATCACAAACTACTGCAATGCAAAAATGGTTCAATTATTTTGCTGAACTGAATTGAATTAAGTAAGACAGAAAGTTATAGAAAGCTACTTTTACATCCATATCAGAGAGAGGCTAGATGCTGACCTGCAAGATCAGGTAAAATGCCAGCAGGCGGTGCCATATCAAAACCACTTGTCCGCTTGCTGTACATGGAGATATATTTGCAACAGGGTAACAATTCGATAATATAAATTTCAAAGCCAACACCAAAAAATCATCATTTTCCGATCTAAGTTCTGTCCATTACAAAATGGGAACCAGTGTCCAAAAGAACAAAGAAATTAGAAAGTGATACAGACAAAATACAACTGGTTACAGGAAAGAGAAAGATCAATTCAAAAAAATTAAACCAACTGATAGAAAAGCTGGACATGAAGCAAAATCTTCTACATTTTTTTCTTTTGATCTTTCTTGTAATTTGAGTAATGCTTTAGACAAACCGTGGCGTGGTGGGAAAGAAAATGTTCTTAATTGTATAAATTAGACAATGTGATAGCCTATAGAACGGAGTGTATCGCTACTTCAGCAGGGTCGGAGTGTACCACTACTTTAGCAGAATCGGACCAAAGCAAAAGAAAAATCATGCATTGCATAGATGTATTCAGTATTCATATTTTCATGGGTCATTGTGTTGTTAATCTTGTAACCTTGCCGAATGCTGAATACAGGTAACTGTTTCAGTGCCTAGAGCCTACCTCACACAGAATCCTAATTTTAAACTGCTTTTGACCTCACAAGAAGAGGATCAAGTCAAGTAAATGATCAGTCAATGATCCTGATGCAATAGTTTTCAAAGCCTCAACCCAGCAGGAATATGGGTAAATTCTAGGGCTATTACATGAAGGGAAATTACAGGGAAAAAAAAAGGGAGAAATTCATGAATCATGACCTCATTCAGCATCATCTAAGTGCGAGCGCACATGCACACACACAAAGGATTGATTTTGTCTCACCATACTCCAAATACCTGACACATCAAGGTAGGAAATGCCTACATGCTAGAATCAAACAAAATCCATCCATAAAAGAAGTAGATCCCCCAAAGATACATAAAGATAAGCTCTATTACAAAGTGCTTCAAGACCAACTATAATGCGCAGCTTCGGCCTCCCGTCGTATATAGACCAAAGGGATTGCTATGACAAAAACAATCCACCAATGTACTTCCCAGAAGGAAGAAAATTAACACGGAGTTTGCACCAAGAACTTCGACAATCCTGACGTGAATCAATACAATTTGGAAGAGAGAGAGAGTTCAAATATTTTACCATTGATAAACGCACTTTTAAATGTAGAATGCAAGGTGAATGGCTTCTATACAAAAATATTAATGTTGTTGTCCATGAGGAACATATTCAATTAACGTATAACCAATAGAATGATTTAAGCAGGAAAAATGTCATCAGCAATGATATTATAAATGCTTAAATCAAGGTATTGAAGACCTTTTTGAGCGAGAAGGTGAATGAGAATGAGNCACAAGAAGAGGATCAAGTCAAGTAAATGATCAGTCAATGATCCTGATGCAATAGTTTTCAAAGCCTCAACCTAGCAGGAATATGGGTAAATTCTAGGGCTATTACATGAAGGGAATTACAGGGAAAAAAAAAAGGAGAAATTCATGAATCATGACCTCATTCAGCATCATCTAAGTGCGAGCGCACATGCACACACACAGAGGATTGATTTTGTCTCACCATACTCCAAATACCTGACACATCAAGGTAGGAAATGCCTACATGCTAGAATCAAACAAAATCCATCCATAAAAGAAGTAGATCCCCCAAAGATACATAAAGATAAGCTCTATTACAAAGTGCTTCAAGACCAACTATAATGCGCAGCTTCGGCCTCCCGTCGTATATAGACCAAAGGGATTGCTATGACAAAAACAATCCACCAATGTACTTCCCAGAAGGAAGAAAATTAACACGGAGTTTGCACCAAGAACTTCGACAATCCTGACGTGAATCAATACAATTTGGAAGAGAGAGAGAGTTCAAATATTTTACCATTGATAAACGCACTTTTAAATGTAGAATGCAAGGTGAATGGCTTCTATACAAAAATATTAATGTTGTTGTCCATGAGGAACATATTCAATTAACGTATAACCAATAGAATGATTTAAGCAGGAAAAATGTCATCAGCAATGATATTATAAATGCTTAAATCAAGGTATTGAAGACCTTTTTGAGCGAGAAGGTGAATGAGAATGAGATTTTGATCGGTTCTCTGATCTATCCTTCGATCGGGATCGGGATCTATGTCTGTGCTGTCGTTCCCTATCTCGCTCAAAATCATGGCGCCTGCAAAAGTAACTACTACAATAATATTTAAAGCAACCATAAAATGCCATTATTGGCATATAATCCGCTGGAGCTATAAGTTCCACTATCAAGCAAAGATATGTATACAAAAGTTCCAAAAGAAACAATTGCCATTTGTGCTGGGATATATATAATGCAAGATAAATTGCATACAAGTTTTACAACAAAATGGCACAAACGAAGCTAATTGCTTCAAGACAATGACAAAACGGTGACAGAAAAGCAAAATAGTGATGAGCAAATATGTTTATCACATCATAACCTGCCATATTCATGGTTCCTAGGTTGGCCGTAATCCTCATTCTTGCTCCTTCCTCTACCGCCCCTAACACTTCTCTCCTTGTAGTCCCTGTGATGGCGATCTCGATCCTTTTCCCTATCTCGGTCTTGCTCCCTAGGCCTAAATCTCTCATTTTCTGACCCACGGAATTTATGCTGCAATAATTTATATCAAGACAGTCATGTATTTTGAATAGATGAGCAAGATCCATAGAACACTCCAAATGGGCCGGAAAATTAAAATAACCATCAATAACGTAAAGGGAGAAAAATCTTGAAAATCATATTTAAATAAAAAAANTCTAGGCCTAAATCTCTCATTTTCTGACCCACGGAATTTATGCTGCAATAATTTATATCAAGTCAGTCATGTATTTTGAATAAATGAGCAAGATCCATAGAACACTCCAAATGGGCCGGAAAATTAAAATAACCATCAATAACGTAAAGGGAGAAAAATCTTGAAAATCATATTTAAATAAAAAAAATTAATAGGAACTAATTCGAGAAAAATACATGATTATTGTGTAGGACAATTTTGTTTAGCAATAATAAAAATTATTTCATGCATGAAAATTCAACATTTCAACTAGCATTTTCAGCGATGGATCTCTTCACCCACAAGTAGCTCCATTTCATGGGATAAATTTTCTGTCTCACATGCCTNTCCCACCAAATTGAAACATTTCAATATGTGAATACAGCATTTAAAACCAGCCAATTTTGTTTAGCAATAATAAAAATTATTTCATGCATGAAAATTCAACATTTCAACTAGCATTTTCAGCGATGGATCTCTTCACCCACAAGTAGCTCCATTTCATGGGATAAATTTTCTGTCTCACATGCCTTAATAGTTTATTTTGAAATCCATAACATAGCACAACAATGTATACAAATGCACTATAAGCCCAGTTCTATTGTAAACAATTAAAAACACTTTCTAACATCTTTCAAGATTATTCTGTTATTTTGAGCCAGACTACTCAAAAAGAATACAAATTTTCCACTTCCCATCTAAAATGTCTTCACCTAAGTCTTTATAAACCAAATGCGCCATTATAAACTCACTCTATTCACCTCCTAATTCTTATTCTGACTCTTCGAAACATCACGGACTGATTTAATGTTTTTCTATCGCTTCAACAGACTCAAATTCATAGCAAAACAGTTCATTCCGTTACAAAACCTGTAACATAAAAATAAATATATCAAATTACACGAAATAAAAAAGGTCACCCTGTGATGATTGGAGTTCCGATCTTTGAACTCGTCGTAACCTGACGATCCTCCGTGATCGCCTTTGCTTTCGTAACGAGACATTGCTACTCAGATTTGAAACCCTAATCGAAAGCCGTAATTTCTTCAAATAATCAACAGTAAGAAAAGGGATCGATTGCTTTGTGCCCTAGTTGGAACACTGGTGTGTTTTTGTAGTAGACGGTGGGCCAGAGCATGCAGCTCGGTTTCATAGAGACTCAAACCAGAAGTACAGCCCAGCCCAGCCCAGCCCATGTCCACCCTATCCTCGGTTCCGCTCCCGCCCGAACCTCTAATTTTCGTAAAATTGCTCTTTTATAACTTAGACGTCGGGATTTTAAATTTTTAAATTATTGAAATAGTCTCTGCATATTTATAATCATTAATTTTAAGAGATAGTTCAAATAGTAAAAAAGACGATCTATAAATTCAGACATCTTGATCTTGAATTTTTACAACCCCTTTGAATCAGGCGATAAATATTTATCCCTCATGAATACCCTATTCTTTAAGTTGATAGCTTCATTATTTTTTATCCGTAGAATATCAAGAGAGGGAGGCCATTTAAATGTGGCTGGACTTAGTGACATGCATATTGGACTAGCTCTTCATGCTCTCTTACAAGTTGAGCATCTCCAATAATGCTATTTAAAATAGCTACTTAAAATATATTTAAATATTATATTATCTATTTTAACTAATCATTTTTTCAAATTCACTCCAACAACGCTATTTATTTTATCTAACTACTGTAACTTATTTTACCTAAATTTCAATAATAAAAATCAAAAAAATAGCAATTTAACTATACATTATATAAATTTAATCAATTATAGGCTACAAGAAATAACTCACCTCCAAAAAATTACTACTCTCAAATTAAATCACAAAATTCAAAACAAAATCACCTCAAAATTTTCGAGTTTGATCGAAAACTTTTGAAGGCTTCGAATTTGATCAAACTAGATGTCATCGTTTCTCCATTGATCGCCTCATTCAAACACTAGACCAACAACTTCTTAAATAGCTAGTAAAAAGTGGCTAACTAGATGTAACTAGTGAAAATAGGATTATGAAAAATAGATAAGAGAATAATTAGTCTGTTAGAACTACATTTTAAGTAAAAACTATCTAAAATAGCTAAAAATAGGACTTTAGCTAGCCTTTTGAAGTTACTCATAATAGATCTCTAAGACATGTATTTGGTAGATGAGAAATTAATAAAGGGCTAAAAAGTAAAATTACAATGAATTGGACTAGTATCTCTTATTTTTCACCCGATGTGCACATACATATGTTTTATCTCGCAATGTATTCATATAAAATTATAAATTGTCGTGATTCATGTAAAAATTTAAAATTTGGATTATAAAATGGAGAAACATATTTTTGGCTTGGGCCATCCAATTAAAAAAGTGAATATTTAATCATAACTAGTGTTCAGTGGCATTGGACGTGGCAGTGACAAATGCGCAATTGACCATTTGATAGTCATATTCTTGAATATACAAAATAGGGTTTCGATGGTGATAGCTAATGGTGGCTCTGACTTGGTGGTAATAGGAGATGGTGGGAAATGAATGGTAACGATAGCGGTAAAACAACGATAGTGGCAGTCATGATAAATATAAAACTAAGTTATGAGATGAAAATGATATTAATGATAAATGTAAATACGTAAATACTTGTGGGTTATTTAGAATTAACTTAATACAAACACATTTTCTTTTACTCAAATCACCTAAAATAAATCACATACAAGAAGGGGAAAATGCAAAAATAATGTAAAAAAAGGAGGGTAAAAGTGTAATTCTACAAAACGTCACAATCATTGCTGCTTGAAGGGAAAGCTACCGAAAGCGGTTGGAAAACTAACAAAAAAGTGGCAGACAAGAAGCGAGTGGATAAGACCGTCGCCACAGCACACAACAAAAACACACTTCCCAAGGTTCTGAAAATCATACTATGCCCCTCGAAACTTTTAAATTTATTACAATCACCCCTGGACAGTTACTTATTCACAAGTTCACTCAATAAATTATGTTACTATATAATCACTTGATGTTTGACATCTCAATTTTACAGCAAAAACATTAAAAAAAAAACAATTGTTGTTTTGTTTATTGAATAATCTTTAATGAAGTACCAAATACCCAAAACTCGTAATTGTTAACCCTTTGCATTGAGTTCCTCCAATATGAAATCGAGGTTTCGAAAGATTATTTTCGTGGATTATCTGAGTCTTTAGAAATTAGAAAAATAAGAATTTTATATAATCAGTTGTAGCACAAAAGTATTTCATGTTAAAAAAATAATACTAATATATGGCTAAATGGTGGGATAAATTCAACATTTTTGTTTAAATTACTTCAGAAACAATTCACCCAGGGTTCTAACAAAATTTGCATTTCTCTTGATTAGATTTATACCGATTTTATGATGATCAAGTCTCAAGCATACAACGAGAATAATTACCTCAAATTCTAAGTCTATGTACAAAACTCACCTATTGAAGACCATATCTCAATTAGGCGTCGATGGCGATAATGATGAAATCACGTCCACTTACCCTCAAAGCAATGGGAATGATTGTTTCGGGATTCCATTCAATGACATATCTAAAAAGTGACTAATTTTTTCACCCCCGAATAATGCTAGTAATAATTCAAAATGCCAGCAACAATTCAATATAATGCTCATAACCCCACACATATTTCACATTAAAAAAAACATATATACCCATATGTGAACATAGAAAATCAAAAAAATATCTAAATAACACGCAATACATATTTTTATTAAAATTTATTAGTTTTCTTCATAAATCACTCTAGATGAAGTTTAAATGAACTTCTAATCTCCAAAAAAAAAAAAAACTCTATAGTATAGACATAGTTACTTAAAAATTCAAAATAAAATAAATTTTGTAGCTTTTATAATTCATTTTTTTGGTAATGTGATCATAGGTGTTTGAATCAGTTTAAATACATCTCGATTAATTTATTTTTTGGTTCAATTAAAGAGACCATTCACGCTGGAACCATAAGGGATAAATCTTTCATTGGTTTTTATAAAACATTTGATTGAAGAGAATTGCAAGATATGGCACCGAGTCCATATATAACGTTTCAAATTTTAGTGAATGGAATGTAATTTTGACAATTGTAGAGGGTAGTGACTGTAATTGTTTCTTATTAATTTCTGACCCCTTGGATATTATTATATTTCGTTATCTTCCTATTTGTAGTACTTTTTGACGCCTCCGTGTGACACTAGCTCGAGTCCACGTGGCAATCGATAGCTCCCCCTTCGTCGTTGTCGTTGCCTTGAAGAAGAAAATTTAGAATTGAAGAACTGAACGCATAGACTGGGCACTTTCTAGAGAGAGAAAAGTAGTATGTGTGGAGAGAGAGAGAGGGTTTGGAGTGAGAGGGCGAGAGAGAGGTGCTAGGAGAGGGGGTTGATTGATGGTGAGTATCTGTTTCTAGGGAAAATTTTGGTGTTGGGAGGAGGAAGATGTACGTAGGAGGTTCAATGCGAAAGTCATTCAAGGATTCTCTTAAAGTTCTTGAAGCCGATATTCAGCACGCTAATACTCTGTGAGTCAACTATTTTCTCTCCATTTCTCTCTCTCTCTCTCTACATATTTGTATACGTGTTTGTGTGTACATATATGTTTGTTTATTTCATCAATTTGTGCGAAAACTAGAGTCTTAGAGAATCGAACGTTTAAAAGTTTTATAGTTTTATTTACATTTTGTTTAATTTTTCCACTATTATGTTTCTGATTCAATTGTCTCTCTAGTTTTGTTACTGATATGCATTTGATTTTGTTGTTTTTTTTTACACTGATCAGATGGGCTCTATTATTGTTTGTATTNTTTTTAAATTATTGAAATAGTCTCTGCATATTTATAATCATTAATTTTAAGAGATAGTTCAAATAGTAAAAAAGACGATCTATAAATTCAGACATCTTGATCTTGAATTTTTACAACCCCTTTGAATCAGGCGATAAATATTTATCCCTCATGAATACCTTATTCTTCAAGTTGATAGCTTCATTATTTTTTATCCGTAGAATATCAAGAGAGGGAGGCCATTTAAATGTGGCTGGACTTAGTGACATGCATATTGGACTAGCTCTTCATGCTCTCTTACAAGTTGAGCATCTCCAATAATGCTATTTAAAATAGCTACTTAAAATATATTTAAATATTATATTATCTATTTTAACTAATCATTTTTTCAAATTCACTCCAACAACGCTATTTATTTTATCTAACTACTGTAACTTATTTTACCTAAATTTCAATAATAAAAATCAAAAAAATAGCAATTTAACTATACATTATATAAATTTAATCAATTATAGGCTACAAGAAATAACTCACCTCCAAAAAATTACTACTCTCAAATTAAATCACAAAATCCAAAACAAAATCACCTCAAAATTTTCGAGTTTGATCGAAAATTTTTTAAGGCTTCGAATTTGATCAAACTAGATGTCATCGTGTCTCCATTGATCGCCTCATTCAAACACTAGACCAACAACTTCTGAAATAGCTAGTAAAAAGTGGCTAACTAGACGTAACTAGTGAAAATAGGATTATGAAAAATAGATAGGAGAATAATTAGTCTGTTAGAACTACATTTTAAGTAAAAACTATCTAAAATAGCTAAAAATAGGACTTTAGCTAGCCTTTTGGAGTTACTCATAATAGATCTCTAAGACATGTATTTGGTAGATGAGAAATTAATAAAGGGCTAAAAAGTAAAATTACAATGAATTGGACTAGTATCTCTTATTTTTCACCCGATGTGCACATACATATGTTTTATCTCGCAATGTATTCATATAAAATTATAAATTGTCGTGATTCATGTAAAAATTTAAAATTTGGATTATAAAATGGAGAAACATATTTTTGGCTTGGGCCATCCAATTAAAAAAGTGAATATTTAATCATAACTAGTGTTCAGTGGCATTGGACGTGGCAGTGACAAATGCGCAATTGACCATTTGATAGTCATATTCTTGAATATACAAAATAGGGTTTCGA